GGACAGTTAAGTAAAATATCCGGGCATTAATTCAAAACCTGAATCTGAACTGATAAGGCCCGCAGTAATGCAATGGAGTACGGAACAACGTTAATTAGTGTAATATCGGAGTCTCAAAGCGCTCGAGGTGTCTGTTAGCTCGTTCAGTGACTTTCTTCCCAACTGAGGATCTCTTCATGTCTGAGCTACCCAGTAAACCGGTACCACTTTCGTCTGTCCATCGCAGGGGCTGAATGTACCAGTTCACTGGGGTAGCCCCCTTCGAAAGGTGTACTGTGTTCTTTAAAGCGCACGTACGTTTAAGGTAAGTTTATAACTCGACAAATTTAATATTGTTGATTTTGCAGGTTTTCATCCTACAGGGCTTCTTGTGCTGGCCACATGTTACCTGTATGACTAAATATACTTCCACATTTATATTTATCATAAATTATTCAAAATTTAGGTACAGTCATGTTTGGCATGTGCTTAGAATTAGCCTGCAATTGATAGTGTTGTATCGAGTATCGTCCTTGAGAAAGACTTCAGACGCAACTATGAAGAGATCATTATGTTTAAGGTTCCGTAAAATTTAGTTTCATGATAATAACATGTAAAATAGGGAAACCACTGAGTTTAGACTCAAGAGGGCGGGGTTGTTCAAAATCTCAGAGTCAGTTGGTAACTTGCATACACAATCAGTAATGTAGGGATTGTTCGGAGTATCATGCCACCATAAGACTGATGTGCGAAAAGAGCTCGATCTAATCACAATCAATTATTATGAGTTGTTATTCCACATTTTGCCAGTGTAGGCCTACATGAAAAAAACAAGACTCCGCCTGAGACACAGGATGCTACTTTTGCCTCTCTTCAGTTAACGTAAATGATTAATTTCAAACTTTGAGCAATTATATTATTTTGTTTTCTTTGTCCAGAGTTGGATTATGATCCAAGTTGTGTTAGGCTGAGTTGATTTTGTTCCCAATAGTTCTAGTTCTGGTTGATTGTGTATTCCGTACAGTCCGGATCCGCACAAGTAATTTTCTAGACGATCGACGTGTGGTTGAAAGGCATGATATTGAACTTTTGTTATAGCACTTCCACCTAGAATTGTCTCTCAGTTACTAATTGTTTCTGAATTGGCTTCAATGTGGCGAGAAATTTCCATTAAGAAAATATAAAAACAGCGCCTCCGTGTGTTGGTACAAAGCAAGACTACCAGTGAAATTGTTATGTCACACCTATTAATTTATATTTATACATTTATAACACCGATTAGTTTGAAGTTAAGTAACCGACCACAAAATTAAGAATCTGACGAAGTGTAAACTGTATATTTATGAAACAGACATGGGGCTTACATCTGCGAAAAATTCTATAATGTTGAATTTTTTTTCCTCCGGGGTAGGCCTATTATTACAACTGAAAAGCAAAAATCAATTAAATTTAAAGCATTAAAACATAACCCAGCTATGAATGCGAGAAGCAATATTCAGAACACAACCCAGTCCCACTCTACAATACATTAGTAGTCCTACAATGAATGCTAATTTCATAACGGCTTTTGAAAGCTTCCCGTGAAAATCATTGCGTTTACGCGACCACAAGTGGGAACCGTATCCATTTTGTTACGTTGCGTCACGTAAGAAATGCAAATTCAACTTTCCGTAAGGAGGGGAGATACGAAATTGCTGGAAGAGCATTTCTTTACTTTGCGTTGCGGCAGGTTTTTTTTTCTGCAAGTGGGAACCAATCTTAATGGACCTTTCCACTAAGCCCTGCCCCTTGGATTTGCTAAGGTCCCACCTGGTCCCACAGAGGCACGTTTATACATAATCTTTACGCGCTTTCGTATCGTGATATCCGTTATCACATTATTTCAAAAGCGTTCACATCTAATTCAAGATCGTGATAATGAGCTGCAGTGTTGGTGCATGAAAGGCCAGCCTACAAGAGATCACCGCGCGGTACCTGTGGCGGCGGCTTGTTTTTACTATTGATTTTTAACGTTGATGATTCGCTATGTTGCCGAGAACTTTGTTTACAATTTTTCCGCTTTTGCTTCAAGTGATCGATTCACAAATTTTAAATGAAGATTTGTTGTGCACAAATATTTTCACTACCGTACATTAAAATGGGTAAAAATTTGATACAAAAAAATGTGGTTCCAAATATTTACCGGTAAATTTTTAAAACGTTTATGGATAAACGTTTCAGCGTAAATAAAGCTTTGTACACTTGAGTACCATTTTTCATTTTGTTTTAATTTACCCTCCCCCTTGAAGAAAATAATATAATATAAATAAAATAAATTTACATCTACAGCCAAAATATTTAGTCTAGATTTAATTAATAAATTAGGAAATTTTAACTTAATGCAGGAAATATCGCTATACTTTTATAATTATTCGTATTACTTTTATTGACATTTTTTTAAAGATTGGAACGATAAGACTTGTCCATTTTTTAGGAAATAATGTCGAATTTAAATGGAGTTGTATATTTTTGTGATGACAAAACTAGGTGAATAGGTCAAAAATTCAGTATGTAAACATTCAATTCCTGGAGCTTTACCAGGATTTTGTGACTTATTAGCTTGTTTTACTTCAACAGAAATATCATAGTTTCTGTTCGTATACTGCACTAAAACTCAGCATTGAGTAAATCGTTCAGGGTTTCAGTATTCGGATTAATAAATTTGTTGCTCTCACAAATAATACTTTCATCTTTCCTAATATAATATCGTTGACATTTTGAAATAAAGTTTTAAAATGATTGAACCATTAGACTGTTTTAATTTTAGAACCACATCATAAGTGGTTTCTTTAGGATTATACCAAAATGATAGCCTTTTTTTTTTTTTTTTTTTTCGTGAACTTTCAAGAAATTTGTTCTTCAGACATAGTTCATCAATGAAAGTTCATGATTATAGTTGTATGGAAAGAGGTCTCTTGTAATCTCTCGCTATCTCGGTGAGTGTCATAGTGTTTAGACCACAGAGTCCATACGATATTATTACGGTCTTATTACGGTCTAAGACCACAACTTTCGTGATTTGAATATTATTTCCTTGTTTATGATGTTGGATGAAATATGGATGAACAATATTAAAAGTTATTTAAAATTCATCTTAAATTATCTGACAAGAGAACTATGGCAACTCATCGTCTACAGTTACTGTCACAACATAAATGAAAATAAGACACTGAACAAATATATAATGTGCAAAATAAGCTGGTTTTAATGAAATAAAAGTTCACCGATCAAATAAATGTAGTGTTACTTTTCGATTAATGTGCCAATGAAAATGTAAATGCAGTACAATACTAAGTCTTCAGATATGCTTAGGACTTTTACCATCAGTCCGCAGTTCTTCATTTTAATACATTTGACAGTATGTAAGTCTGAGTTTATTTGGCTATAATCCTCCGACCATCTATAAACGAAAACGAGTTGGAGGAGGACTTTTGTCTGCGAGAGGATTCTTCTTTTTAAAAACTCGAAAGTAAACTTTGTTTGGTTTTGCCAGACATAACGTAGTTTTTCTTGGTATATTGAGTAACGTCTTCCACCAGTAAGAGCCAGTGGAGGCGCCAGGATTTGCCCGACGGGGGGGGGGGGGGGAAACAAGGTCCCGGACAGGAGGAAAGTGGGGAACGATGTCCCGACGAGGGGTCAGATTTTCCTGACGAAAGCAAAGTGGGCGTGGTCGAGCTTTGATTAAAAGGCTTTGAAAGTGGTCCGAACATTTTGACAAAATAGGGGTTTCAGAATGCTTATTTGATCGATTTTAGAGTTTACTAATATGTAGAAAATACATACAATTTTTTTTCTCCCCGACGAAGTGCTTTTTTCTCCCCGACGGCCATCCCCTCCCCCACTGGCGCCACCCCTGGTAAGAGCGTAATTCCTTATTTCCAACGCATAAATACGAAGATAAGTAACCCTTGGAAAGAATTAAGAATACAAAAAATCCACAGAATAACTTCGGAAGCATCTCCGATGGAAAAGAAGCCGATCAACCACGTTAAGCCGAAAACTGCTGTAATGCTCACTCCAATTCTCATCATCTGAATCCCACTGAGTCTGGTTTCCTTTCCTTTTATGGTAGATTGAGTTCTGTTTTTTCCGACCTGCCTTAAACTATGCAAAACCAGAATGAATACAGTCGTGTTGAAAAGTAAGGATAGGGCGACAGGAATTGCTACAGAGTAGTACATACGTTGGAGTGTCAGAAAACAACTGCAAGTAGATAAATAACACCAGAAGGTACGTAGTTAAGCAATTATTACATATGTGTCACATAATACACAAAATAATAACAATTAATAGTAAATGTGCAAATAATATAAAATAATATATAGGCCTTGATATTACCAGTGGGCCTATAGGAATTTATTTCATATCACCATATGCTGGGTGTGCTGTTGTAAATTAATAAACACTGACAACAAATGATATTTTATATTGAAATATGCAGGCTTGTGTATAGGTACTTAAATTATTGTATACTTGGTATTTGGCAGTGTATACTGAGTACAGAGGAAAGACTAAAACTCTAAACACACTTTAGTTTGACAAGCAATAGACCTTTCCGGAGTGTCAATCAAACTTAACATCTGACTAATCAGAACAATGCAAGCAACATGCGCGCGTCTTACAAACACACGTATTATAACACAAACGCACGTGTTCACCTATGGCTTGGTTCTCACGAAAGCCCTAGTATCCGGATCGGGAGCTAACTGTTAGCGCTAACCGTTAGCACCTGCGTGAGAACGCCCGAACGGTTAGCGCAAACCGTTACCGTTAGCGCAGTATCCGGATACCGCTAACGGTAACAAGCGCTATCGGTTAGCAAGGGGGCAAGTTTTTATTATCAACCAATCACACGTACGCGTTTACAATTTCCAGTTTCTTATTGGAAGGTGATTCGATCATCATATTCTTGGTCCGGATCGGGATCTTCTCGTATGGACACATGGCAGCTAACGGTTAGCAGGATCCGGATCCTGCTAACCGTTAGCAGCCGTGTGAGAACATAGCCTATGTTTTAACACAGGGACCTTTGGATTTGTGCGAGGAGCGACGCTAGAACGGAATTACTCATGCGTGACCGTCCTACCTGCCGTCCTACGTTCTCTGCATACATGGATTTGGCCAAGTTGGGTGCAGTGCAAAACTAAAGTGGCGCAGTGCAAACTCAAAATGCGTGTGCCACCACTTTAGTTTTGCACTGCGCCACTTGACTTTTGCACTGTGCCACTTGACTTTTGCACTGCGCCACTTGTAATTTGTCCTTTTGGCGTTCCATACTCGACTAGGTGAACTTAACGTTCTCGCATGCGCAGATGACTTTTAGTAAAGTCATTACGTACTACGCCCTACCGTAGTCGTGCAATCAAAAGCTCCCTAATGTTGTCTTGTTGGGACCTTAGCAACAATATTCAAGGGGCGGGGCTTAACAGAAAGGCCCATTGTTTAATCTTTTCTATAACTTACTACTTTTCAAAATCCACATAGCTATCAAGGTCAACAAATGCAGACACCGAGACAATTATCACTGGTAAACCTGTGGAAAAAGTTTAATATTAATAGTTAAATAAATATAAATAGGATCACCTGGTTTCCTAAATAAATAAATAAAAAAAAAACACTTATAACACTCTAAGCATTAATACATTATACGAAAAATATCTTCATTAAAAACTAAAATACTTACCCCATGCAAACAAGCAAGCCTTAAAAAGAAAGTGTGACACGTAACTATTAACGACTTTCACAAGTAAATAGTACATTTTTACAGCTTGAACATTCATCCAGAAGATTGACGATAGCAAGAAGTAATGCAAAAGAGCTGCAGCAAACGTACACCCAAGACTGTTTTCAGTCGTTTCATTTCGTTTCGTTTCGTTTTGATCAATTCCAGCAAGAAATACAATGTACAGACCAAGCAAAGACAAACACAGCTGACATAGAATTTGCTTTGGTTCACTCTTCCAAAATTTCCTAAATAGAATTTAAAATTAATGAGATCATCATAATTGAACTACATAAATATAATCTTACTACATTTATTTATTTATTTTGTTAAACTTGGGCATAATTTAATGCCATTCTATATATCATCTTCAACTAACACGCTGTTGGGCAAAGACACTGTCTTTGACGACAAAACTACATCCTATATATTATATTATTTACTATATATATA